AGAGTAATTTATTGAGCCTTCTAGGTCTAACGTTTCTCACTGATATAAATTGGGACAATTATATCGAGTTAATTGCTATGTCTGCTACTAAGAAAGTTAGTTCACTACAAAACGATTTTTCTCGCCAGAATCTATCTTGCATCCTTATAAGTCTACCATTCGTCCTTGCTTTAAATATTGTTATCATATCTGGTCTGGTACTACTGCGATGTATTTAAAGATTCTTGACAAAGTTTCAAAGAATAATCTGCAATGTTATCGGTCCTGATGTGGCATCTCGATTCCAATCACATTCCCGCCGCCATGGTGTTTTTTTTCTGTGTCTTTTCTATAAATATATATATATATATATTTGGCAATTGTTCTGATGAACTTTCCTCTTTGGTACTTCGACTTCATGAATTTAAACGCAGTACTAGATTGGCAGATAGGTCTCATACTTTCACATTTACAATTGCTAATTGAAACCGTAAATTCTATTCCAATAGTTTCTTCTCTTGCATTCCTCATCACTGGCACTCTATTCTAGTTTCTTGATTTCCGAACAACTTCGATCTTCAAAAATTTAAAAGCAATGTCAATCATCATCATCTGTTTCTTATCATTTTCTTTTTCTGTCCTTTTTACTCAATACCGTTTTTCTTGTATTCTTTAACACTTAGTACCCCATTCTCTCTCCCCACCCCCTTGCGTCTTAGTGTCTTTATCGCCTTGCTTGGAAAAAAACTGATTAAAAAAAATATGGCCATACCTCCGTGTCTGTATGTGTTACTCAGTATGTGTGTATGTGTCTTTGCGTGTGATTTTGTGTATATACGTGTGTCACTGTGTATGCCTGTGTGTGTATTCGCGCTTATGCATATGTGCACATTTGTGTGTATGCGTGCTTCAGTATGGGTGTACCAATTTGTATATGTGCCTCTGTAATTCCTTTGTTTATGTGTGTGTGTGTGCGCACGCGCGTATGTGCCTGTGTATATGTGTGCGTATATGTGTACGACATGCTAACCCTTGTTGCATTATTTAAAGTCAATTTTTGGCTGTCGCACTCAGTGAGGATCAAACTCACTATTCAGTAGTAATGGTTATCCTGAGTAGCCTCACTCTTCCATCTTCCATTGTTGGTTGATTTTAAAACATATCAATCTTTCCTGGGTTATTTAATCTCAAATTTTGTATGAGGGACACAATAAGGATCGAACTCACTATCCAGTAGTAATGGTCATCCCGACTAGTCTCGTTAACCATTACCCCACGACAAGCCTCTATGTATTTAATTATTATTAATATTAATTTGCCCATATGGCCCAAATTAGAAAACAAATGGGAGAGAGTAAAAGATATAACAAAGAACACCAGCAACGTGTAGAAAACAGAAACATTCGAAATATTAAATTAGAAAGACGTTTACGACAGAGAAAGAAGTGCATTGTACACAAATACTGTCACCATTTGCTAATATAATCAAAATGTATTCTTATATCCATTTTAAGATGTCTAATGTCTTGACCTTGACTGCCGAAAGAGGAAGAATGTGCCACCCACTTACTACGCGCTATTAAAAAAAGAATATTTTCGTATGTTCAGTCAGCGGTTGAATTTTTAATGGACGCCTTATGGAATTTATACTGGGGTTTTTCTTTAAATATTTCTCGAAAATTTATACTGGCTTTTTTAGAAATATTTCTCGAAAATTTATACTGGCTTTTTTAAAAATATTTCTCGAAAATTTATACTGGCCTTTTTAAAAATATTTTTCGAAAATTTATACTGGCTTTTTTAAAAATATTTCTCTAAATTTGTCAATTGAATTTACTATTTTAAATAGATGTATTAAATCAAATGATCGGGCTCACTTCCAGATCTTTTCATACGAAAGCGGGTGTTCCAAAAAGCTCTATCCTGGGCCCTACGCTGTTTATGATCTTCATCAATGATCTTCCTAATGTCATCAATTCCCAAGTAGGCATCTATGCTGACGATATTATCTTTTACTCTTGTCTCAATAGCAAATCCGGCAACACTGACAACGTCATAAGAACCTTCAATCAGTGGTTAACTGAGGCATGAAATGACTTGTAAATTTTAATGCCCCTCCCCCAAACTAAACTGCTCTCATTTAACCACCACAGAGAAACTTCCCTGCCCACCACCAGCATGATTGATGCATCTCACTACGCCTTCTTGGCCTCACGTTTTCAACTTAAGGTACAATAATGAATTAGTGATACAAGTCTTTACTAATTAACCCATAGCTGAGGAGAGAAGAGATGGATTTATAGCTAATCAGAATTTGATAAACAAACAAGAAATTATACTGCGAGTATAAAGTGGGGATCAATTTTATATTATCAGGTCATCCCATAAGTTCTGTCCGAATTTTAACTTTTTGTTAAAATGAACGAAATTTAAAGAGTATTTTATAATGTCTAATGGAGCTGAACATTATTTTTATGTTTAGATGCATTTAAACTGATCAAATTTTATTTTAGAGAACAATAAAATTAAATTTTGTTTGATTAAAACCCTGCTAACATGGAAGTACCCAAGAATCATTTAAGGCACATAATGCTTTATGAGTTCAAGAAAGGAAAGTCAGCAGCCGAAGTGACTAGAAACATTCACTCAGTTTATGGAGAGGAATGTGTGAATGAAAGAACTTGCAGAAGATGGTTTGCAAAATACAGAGATGGAGATTTCATCCTTGAAGATGAAGATCGAACCGGATGTCCAGTTGAGTTTGATAAAAAGCTTCTTGAAGCAGCCCTTGAAGAAAATCCTGCTTTATCAGTTGAGGAATTGGCATTGGTTCTCAGTTCAAACCATACAACTGTTCATCGTCATCTTCAACAACTTGGAAAAGTTCCTAAACTTGGAAAATGGGTGCCTCATGAATTGTCTGAAAACAACCTCAAATCCAGAGTTGACATCTACCCTTCTCTCCATTCTCGCCAACTTGTTTCACCTTTTTTGGATAGACTTGTGACTGGCGACAAAAAAATGGATCTTTTATCGAAATGTTAAGCGTCGTAGACAGTGGCTTGGTAAAGGGGAAGGACCCCAGCCACAGCTGAGAAGGGAACTTCATGGGCAAAAGGTTCTTCTTTCAATCTTTGAATTCTTACCACCTAATGCAACAATTAATGCTCAAATATACTGTCAGCAATTAGAGCGTTTGAACCAATCTTTGAGGAAAAAAACAACCTGCTCTAATGAATCGAAAAGAGGTAATGTTTCATCAGGACAATGCGCGACCCCACACAGCAAGAATCACGTCACAAAAGATCGAAGAACCTGGTTGGGAGAAAATTCCTCATCCACCTTATTCTCCCGATCTTGCTCCTTCAGACTACCATTTGTTTCGTAGCTTACAGAATCATTTGGAAGAAACAGCTTTTGTAACACAGGAAGAGGTTAAAACTGACATTTGTGAGTTCTTCGAATCAAAGCCAAAAGAATTTTACAGTAATGGAATTAGTAAGCTTGTTAATAGATGGAAGGAATTAATAGATAATCAAGGAAAATACATTGTTGATTGAATCTGTAATTAAATGTAACATTTGGTCACTTGTTTTCTTTATTCAAAATTTGGACAGAACTTATGGGATGACCTGATACAATCACTTCATAAAATGATCCCTCACTTTGTGTCCACGGTAGTTTCTATACGTTTATATTCCGGATAATGTAAATCAATCTAAAAGACATGCCTGTGTAGCAAATCAGTATTTCATTGATTGATGGATTCGTTTTCTACGGCTTATCAACCCCTTGCAGGTTATTTAAAGCCAGAAAATATTTTTAGATTATAAGAATTTTACAACTAGGACCGGTCATGCACCGTAGACAGGGTCGAATTCTTCTCATTAGAACATCTATTCGTTTCAAATACAGAAGGGGTCATAAAAATGATTTCAAAGGGTCACACAGTTCGGCTTATACTCTTTTCCCGTTACACATGGGTTGTTGTCAAACAAAAAGAGAAATTAGCCCTCATGACAGAGATGTCCGTTTTCAGTTTTATCCAAAGTGTGCATTTGCGTGTATACATATACACAGGGTGCGATGGGTGAATTGTCGCCATTTTATAGTTTTAATTTTACACGTGTGCGTTGTTTGTTTTTGATTTTGTCGCCTGCACAGTATAGTGGGGTCAGTTGGGCACCTTCTGTGAGAAAAGGAGCACCATGACGCAATTCACCCTGCCAGAAATTTGGAAACAGCATGCTGTACTGCTTGGCATTCGCACCAGAAGCTCCAATACGAACATTTCAGAGTGGTTGGGTGTCAATCTGAAAACAGTACAGAATATTCTGCACCATGCCATACAAGTAGGAGAACCCAGTTATGGCTGTCAGACAATTTCTGCGTCCACTTCACCCCTTATATTTGGCCACCTAACTCTCCAGACACAAACCCCCTTGATCACTATGTGTGGAGCGCAGTTGAACGAGAGACCAACCAAACTCTTTGTAACACCAAAGAGTAACTGAAGGCAAAGATTATGGCAGCATTCACCAACTTAAACAAGATGACTGTTCAGAAGATTTGAAGGAGATTCTGAAGCTGTCTGGAGGCCCTGGTTGAAGACAATGGCGATTTTATTGAATAAATTTATTCTTTAATATTTCAAGATATTTTTGTGTAATTTTGGTAAATATATCTGTTGAAATGACAATTTTCTTTTTAATTTTTGCGTAATTTAGACGGCAATTTATTCATCGCAGCCTGTATATTTTAATTCAGTGACAGACAACTGTTGATTAATATCAATTCTATTGTGAAAGTCCGACTTGCATAATAAAATCTTAGACCATCAAATAAATTCTTGTAAATGTTTCTAACAAAAATTGATATTAAAAGCTGAAATTTATGGGGTATATTTATTATATAAATAGACTGAAAACATTACAAATATTGGTTTGATTAATACCAATTTATTGTGAAGACGTCGCCTGGTATAATCAAATCTGAGAGTACGTGTGCGCGCTCCTCTGAATATGCGTGTGTATGTGCGCCTCAGCTTATATACCACTATATGTGAGTGTTCGTATCTATGCGTTCCTGACCGCGTATGGGAAAGCGATGTGAGCTGTGCTTACGCATAGGCGACTGTTCATGAGCGCAAGCGCGCCCGGGCGCACGGGTGTGTCTGCAATTTCAGTTGCTTTCTCTCCTTCCCCCTCCACTCCGGCCCTCGCAACTTTACCCACCGTCGCGACAGAAGATTGTTAGTCTTCCCTTTATTTCGGGAAGACCCCCAAATCAATAATAATGTAATTTCGACATCATTGGAACCAGACGACAAATTGGATCCAGATGACACTTTAGACATCGTAAAACGCACAACCTGATCGCAGGAATTTTACAAATGGAAACACGCTTTTCAGTCCGTTTTGAAATCAAATGTTTTCCTCGGTTCATTGTTTCAAAAACATTCTCACCTACTCGACATCTCAGGTAGAGAGTTCAGATTTCTCGAATGTTAATTCGATAATGTACCACTTAAAATAATTTCGAAAGGACATAACTCTTATTACGGCACGAAAATTCTAGAGATCTTGGCGATAATGATTCATTGCACTCAATGACTCAACTTTAAAATGATTTCTTTTCCTCTCTCTGCGAAATATACTCTTGGAATAAACTCTATCTAATTCCTGCGTTGCTCATGAGTATTTTCCGTTTGGCATTTACACTACTTATATGATCAGAAATAGTCATCATTATGAACGTGTCGATCTTCAGGTTGGCAAAGAAATGCGTCTTTTAGAGAATTCGGTAAAATCTAAAATAAAATTGAATTCTTTGTTGTATTTTTTTTTTTAAATTCTGCCATTAATTATTTTCATTATTAAATTTTCTCATGCCTTTCCTTCATCCTATTGCCGATTTTATCAGAACTTTCTCGGTTGAATACTCTTCGTCGGTTGAAGTAGGTAGCGTAAATTAAGAATTAAAAATAGCTTCCGGTATGATATATATATATATTTAAATTTTATATTTTAGAAATCGTAATGAGAAAAACTGATATTTCGAAGATACTATGATTTTTCAAGAATTATATTATCCTACCGAATGGCCACTTCGATCTGGTATAATTGTTAACAAGCTTGTCTTGTTAGATCAATTACGACTGAATCGGGACTTCGATCCTCACTGGGGGCCCGATACTTTCGGCATTGTGCTACATCTAAGCTACGCTTAGAAAATCATTCTAAAAATTCAATGTGGTGTAATGGTTAACAATGGTTGTTTCGCAGATCACTTACGACTGAGTAGTGAGTTCAGTCCTCACTGGGTGCTCCTTAGTTTCGGCCTTGTACTACATCAAAACTAAACTTGGTAAATCACTACATTAACATAATCATTCTATGAAATCTTTTATCTTCCAAGTAACGAGCCTCACCAATACGCCACCAGAAATAGGACTCAAAACTTTTACACATCAACGATGAAATATCCCGTGTGATTTAGATGTATAGCCCTTTTTAGGCGGTCTAACTGGCTAAACAAATGGGTTTGTTTTCAATTGAATGCAATACTACTAATTAGCTGTAGAGTGGTATACACTGTTAAATCAACTCGAGCAATATGGCGGCTTCCACATTAGGTCGGTACGCTTAGAAATTAGCGATTTATTTTTCAATTTTTTTTTATCGCCAAATAAACGAATTTTGATGCCATAGCATAGACTTGTTTCAATATTAAATAAAATAGGCTCGCTTGGGCGAAGTGATTAAACTGCTATGGGCGACTATTTTATTTTTTATATAAAAGATCTCATATTTATAAATATAGAAATGAAATTCGAGGATCATTGTCAAATTTTAAGTTGACTATACCCAGTTATTTTGAAATTGAAAGGAGATAATGTTAATGATAATATTAGCCGGTTCCTTATAAGGAAACAGTCGACATTTATTGTCCAAACAACCTGTCCTACTGTCTATTGAAATTTATAAAATCTTTCTATTAAAACAATTTCTCTGGAAAATAATTTTCTCAAGTCCAGTAACTCTTATCGTTTTTCCAGTATTGAAACCTTTGATCCGAACTAGTGTGGAAGGTCAACATCTTGATTATGCCATTATTTTCGCCTCGAGTTACATGATGCTATCCATTTTAGCTGTTGCTGCTCTTGTCAGTCCTCCAGTGATGTGCTTTCTGTTATTTGGTACAGTTCTTTGTTTGTGCTTCTGTAGCGTCAGTCCACGAGGTTCGAGGAAAGATGGTGCTCTCTAAGAACTTCTGGCTTTATTCAGTCGTAGGCATTTTGAATCATTGATCTGAGAAAGTATTTGTACATAGTTAATAGTTATAATATTTCTGAACGGGTTGGACATGATGCATGACATCCATATAAAAGTCTCGATCAAACAAAGTTGTTTAAAAACATGACTCGAGTTTTTAGATTTATGTTTTTGCATTGTAGCTATTTGCAGTGTTGGGCATGACTCCTCCAGGCACAGCCTATTCTATGTTCAATTTCCTTATCTCCTATAATAAAAGAGTTATAATTGATCCATACACTAACGAAAGGTCTAATCATTTTACAGTTCAAACTACACCTAGGGCAGTCTATTCTATGGTCAATTTCATTATCTCCTATAATAAAAGTGTTATAATTGATCCATACACTAAGGAAAGGTCTCCTCATTTTACAGTTCAAACTACCTATAGGGCAGTCTATTCTATGGTCAATTTCCTTATCTCCTATATTAAATTTGTTATAAACTATCCATACACCAAGGTATTTGAAGTGTTTGATATTTATTAATTCCACATCGTGACTTTTTGTAATAGATTCAGGGTGGGTGTTATCACTGCTTTCATTCAAATTCTAGATCATAGTTTCTTTTTGGAAAGGTTTATCTTGAGTCCTATTTGTTTAAACATTGGGTAGAGAATGTCGGTTTTCTTTTTTTAAGATCATTCTAACTATGAATACCTAGGTCAACAGCATCGCCTACTTATCATTAGTACACTGGCCCAGGGAGAGATGCTTAATAAATTCGTTGTAAACCACATTTTAACTTAGAAAAAAGAAATAAAAGACTACTTCTAAATAGCCACAACTCGAACCTAAAAACAAAATAGAAAATTTTCATTTTTAGCTCCAGACAAATCGCGTGTCTTCTTTTCGAAAAATAGAATAATTTGCTGATGTAATCGCATGGTGATTATTATCACAGAAGCCTCTACTTTGAACGATGTACACAAAGAAAATATTTCCTGTGCCCACCGACGCGGGCTTAATGCAAAATCAATGTGTCTATGATAGCCGTTGTCATTCGGCCGGATTCAGTCTGCCAGACAAAAAGCCTCTTATTCCGACGGACCAAAATTCATCGCAGACAAATAAAGAGAATATATTCCTTACTTTCCAGTCACTTATTCTTGTACTAAGAATCTAAAGAATTCCTTGTTGCCAACACGCTGGCACCATTCAATAGGAAGATATTTTTCTAATCTCTCTCTCTCTCTCTCTTTTTTCTCGATTTTGTCTCTCTGTTGTCACGCACACACATACACACAGACATGCAGACTCTCTCTCTCTCTCTCTCTCTCTCTCTCTCTCTCTCTGTTTATTCCTCTCTATTTCACACTATTCATGTTTCTGTCTGCCTGTCTCTCTTACTCTTTCTTTCTCTCTGTTCTCGATTCTGTCTCTCTGCTTTCATGCACACATAGGCACACGCTCTGTGTGTGTGTGTTTTTATTTCTCTCTGTTTATTTCTCACTATTCGTGTTTCTGTCTACCTATCTATCTCCTACTCTTTATTTCTCTCTCTTCTCGATACTGTCTCTCTGCTGTCACGCACACGCTCCCCCTCTCTCTCTCGCACACGCTTCCCCCACTCTCTCTCTCTCTCTCTCTCTCTCTCTCTCTCTCTCTGTGTTTATTTATCTCTATTTCTTTCTCACTATTCGTGTTTCTGTCTGCCTGTCTCTCTCCCTTCCTTTGTGATTCTGTAGCACAAGTCTATAAGGTTCAAAGAAGTGTGGCTTTGCCAAGGCCCACAAGCTTCACTCATAAAAAGCCATTTTTAACCTTTGATCTTTGTATACAGCTGAAAGTTTAGATATTTCTCAATGAGTTTAGCGACATACATGACATATATATATATATATATATATATATATATATATATATATATATATATATATATATATATATAATGAGAACGAATCAAATATAAATTCCAATGTTCATAACATTAATTTAAAAATACGGCACAATACAATAGTAGAACTATAGTCTTCAAGTGATAGTAACAATAACTGAAGAGATATGATGATATGCATCGAAACATGTTTTTCATGCTAGAGGCAATCGTCAGGCGGACTGACGATTGCATCTAGCATGAAACAGCCTGTCGACTCTGAGTATTGACATCAATGTTCACTTTTATATTTACACACGCTCTATCTCTGATATTGAGCACTTTATCCCATAAATACAGCACACCTTAAAACTATATTTCTTCATATATATATATATATATATATATATATATATATATATATATATATATATATATATATATATATATTCTGTTTATACGTCATTTTTATAGATACAAATATTTAAGTAAATGCACTGTTTATGATAAACAGTATTAACTGCATTTACTGACCTGAATGTCCGAGAAATTTCATAGAAAATATGTTCCCTCCGTCAAGATTCGATCCTCTATCCTACACGGAACCGTCATATAGCCTGAGCATTAAACACCATTTTATTTTGTTTACTGTCTGACACAAACCAGAAAACTATTTTAAAAAATTAGCTCTACAGAAGAAACTTCGTTTAATCCGACATACCTTAACCGCTCGGCTCCGAAGCCTTTAAAATCGACCAAATTTGTAATTTGTCTTTAAACCACACTCTATTCGTTCAGATTTCCTCGAATGTCATAACTGCTCAGTATCGTATCCGAAACGTAAACAAAGCAATTTCTAAAGAATTTATGGATTTTATTTTAATAATAAACCATACAGCGCAGGCGTCTTCAAAAGGGATTGGTTAACTTCCCTAGCAGCTGAGTATGCACGGAAACGAGTAGCTGGCTATCATGAGATACGGGTTGATTTGTCAGGAAGGAGAATTCCTGATGTTATCTTTCTGGAGGAGTGGGCGATCCTGTGGAAAGTACCTGAAAACCATACCACGAGTTGACCCAAGTCTTGCGAGTGAAATTGGATAGATGTAGGGGGGAGGCGATAGCTGTGCTAGCACAAAGTCACAAGTCATCGTGACCGAGGGTTTGAGTGTGCTGGCTTTGTTCAGATTGATATTCACGCTAGATAACACGCTCAGTATAAAACACAGGTGGGCTTGTGGGTATTGAACAAATACAAATGTGCCTGAGTGAGCGTCTGCAATAGGGATTGGCTAATAGACGGGTATCCTCGAATACGAGTGACCAGTTATTATATATATATATATATATATATATATATATTATCCTGTGACACGTACCGTCATCCACAGACAGACTGTTTCGCAGCTCATCAGTGTGGCTCTAGCTAGGATCGAAACCCGACTGAACTGGTGTCAGTCGGAGATTCTAACCATTAAGCCATCGGGAGGAAAGTGGATTTTTAGCGTGTTTATCTTTATAAGTGACCGGGAGTGACTCAATTCGCATTAGCGAAGAGTCTCGCTATATACTATAGCTATAATAGTCACTGTTTACCAACCCACACCTCCTCCACAGAGAGCTCAACTGAAATTAAGAGTACTTGGCCATTATTAAAATAATAGACAGAAATGCCCAATAAACAAAAAAGGACAAAGTTTGCAATAAGCAATAACGAGGGAAAGAAAAATAGGCCCAAAATAATATTCAGCAAACGATATATGCAAAGCAAAACAACTGTAAAAAGGCAAATTAACAGTAATAAGGCAAGGCAACAGTTATAAAGCAAAAAGTTCACAAACTAAGAATTGGGGTTAACACACACAAGGGGATACAGACAAGAGATCGCGGCGTTCTGGCTTCAAAACAAGAAAGAACATAACTAAGTCGGATGAGAATGAGAAGTGACCTATCTTATTGTCTAGGAAGAAATCCCAGCATGCATTTGTGTGTTTTGTCTATAAATTTAGGAAGGGGGATGACAAAGAAAGAACAGAACAAAGTGAATGAGACTGAGAAGTGGCCTATTTTATTGTCTAGGAAGAAATACCAGCATGCATCTATGTGTTTTGTCTATAAATTTGCGGAAGGGGGTGTTTTTGCTGTCATTCATAACAGTGATTGGAGCCTGTCTGTCTAACGCTTTTCCCAGGCTTTCTGTGTCTCTGCATGTCTCTCTCTCTCTCTCTCTCTCTCTATCTCTCTCTCTCTCTCTCTCCTTAACTCTCTCTCCAACTTCCCCTCTCTCCCTAACTCTCTCTCTCCCACCCTCTCTCTCTCCCTAACTCTTTCTCTCTCCCAATTTCTTTCTCCCACTTTCTCTAACTCTCTCTAACACTTTCTCTCTCTCCCTAACTCTCTCTCTCTCTCCCACTTTCTCTCTCTCCCTAACTTTCTCTCTCCCTCTCTCTCTCTTTCTGTTGCTTTCTATCTCTTTCTTCTCTTTCCTTTTAGGCTCAGTTTATAGATTATTCCATTCTCCATTAGCAAGCGTATAATCAGTTTGTTTTGTCGGTACTGACACAGAACGATAAACTTTGCAAACCTTGTATCATGTCATTTAACGATTTTGTCAAGCATAAATATCTCAGAATGGAAAGTATGGCTTCATTATAATCTAATTATAAATTTGGTTTATCTTAACCATATGGCCAGAATCAGATTTCACGGCCTTTCAGTAATTATCGTTTGGTAGCCGCGTAGAAAATAAATATTACTCTTGACAAAACTCTCATTATTCTGAACAGCTTTGTCATATTTTATAATTCCATAAGAATAACGGAATATGAAACGAGACCACATCTAAATCATACCATGCCAGGATCGATCTCATTAGCTATGGCTTTCGATACTAATCTTTCGATTAGATCTCTGCAACAGGCGCACACCGAAGATCTGACAATGTTGGCTTAACAAAGTAAACAACTTGTTAAAAAAAACAAAAAAAACTTTTCGGGTGTAATCTTCAATATATAAGGAAAGACGAATTACTTTCCCGATAACAAATATTGAATTTTTTTAACTGGTATCACCCCAAGTAAGGCAGTACAGTCACTAACACGAAAGTGGTTACAGAGTGTAGGGGAATGAGAAACATTAGTAATGAGTAGAAAGAGAAAAGAGTTATTAGGAGGGTAGTAGATATAAGATTGATATTGTATGTAAATTTTGGCTGATTAAAGTTGGCTAGAAAGCATGAAGGTAGTTCCACAGGTGAGAAATGCGAAATAAGAAACTGTTAGCATAAAAATTACTGCTATATTTATCTAGCTCAACTGTAAATTGACGAGATCTCGCCGCCAGTCTAGTATTGCGCTTAAATTCATACAGTCTAGTTACGAGAGCGGAGAACTCATCCGAACAATTACCACGAAAATATTTATAAAAAGGGCACAGAGAGGCAACCTTACGATGGTGGGTATGTGACTGATGCTGAGACGCCACATCAGGACCAATAATATTGCTGATTCCTCTTTGGATTTTATCAAAGTACTCTAGATAAATAACAGTGGCACCGGACCATATGTGGCAGCAATATTCTAAGTATGGTCGAATGGTAGACATATAGATATGCAAGATAGATTCTGGAGATAAAAATTGTCTCGCCCGACACAGTGAACCAACTTTCTTAGCAGCTGACCTAGCAATGAATTCAATATAGTCTTTCCACTTTCTCCATCTTGTCAAGTGAGAACATCAGCCTGAGAATGTGCAATGAGTTAATTTCCCGGGGGATAACATTGACCATGATGATGGAAGGCAAAGAGAGAGGTCTCTCAGATGATTAATAGAGAGAAGTTTAGTTTTGGGGGCGTTAAAATTGACAAGCCATCCTTTGCCCCAGTTAACGACGATCTTCAGGTCGTTTTATATACCAGCTGCCATTTCGACCTTGTCGGACTGATCAGCTTTACCATCAAGGTAGAAGTAAATGGTAGTGTCGTCAGCGTAGATACCAAGTTGATCGGAAAGGTCGTTAATGGAGATTAAAAACAGCGTAAGACCAAGGATGGAGCCCTGGGGGATACTCGCGTTAGTGTGAAAGGATGTAGACGTTTGGCCGTTCAGGACAACTTTCATTTCACGATTTGATAGCAACGACTGGATCAGCTCAACCAAGAAATACATTCACACTTGTGAAATACCAGTTGGAAAGATCTTTTATGGCCTTTCAGTTCTGATCGATTTCTCTCATAAATCTTTACCAGCAAGAAGTGTATCATTTTTTGTTCATATTAATTAATTGACTGATTTGTTTTTTCCGGCATTTGCAGTTTATTTAAAGCCAGAAAATATTTTTAGATTATCAAACTTTTTGTAGACGTAATAGTAAGTTACGGATACGAATCTTACTAATTAACCCATAGCCGGGGAGAGAAGAGGTGGATTCCTACATATCCCATGTTTATTTGCGCGTAGGGGAATAAAATGAACCCGATTGGAATAGGAACTCGGCTTTTCGATTTTTAATTCTGAGCCGTTATCTACTACACCACCTGCACCTCCATGCTTACAGCACCTGGTATTCCCAACCGGTTGCCAATTTAGGTACTAACCAGAATCGACGTTGCTTAACTACAATAATCAGACGGGAACCGATGTTTCAACGTGATATAGCCGTAGGCCCTTTATTCTACCAGTACATAAGTACTGGCCAGGCTCGACTTTCAACATGATGTGACTTGAATATACTAGAAAAAAATTATTGAAAAGGTATATTTTATCATTCATCAATGCCAAAACTACTTATAAAAAGTTATTTACAAATGTTGTCCTGGAAATAATCTCTTTGTTGATATGAAATCCTGTTCGCTAATTATGAATTCTATTATCGTCATTTTGTAATAACCAATGGTATCTGACTAGCAGAGGTTAGAAAGTGCACTCTCTTCTCTTAACGGCAACTCACAATTTCTAAAATGGCATTGCCACATTTTCATAGATGTCTGCAAATATCATTTCTCTGTTATTCTTTATGGAAAATGGTGCTCCAAGCGTGTTTACCTTCATGTTCCAAACAAAACTTTCAGCTACTTCTCCAAAAACAGTGAATTCAATCTCTCTCTCTTTTCCTCATACTAGCCTTGTACAACAAATATTTTATATACAGTTGTAAATATTGGGAATTAGTCTTTTGTTTTTTTAGTTTTTTTGTTTGTTTGTTTTGTTTGTTCTTTGTTTTTTTTTGTTTTTTTGCATTAATATCGTTGTCACCTCCAGTCCCATAATACTGGACTCAGGCATGTTTTTTTCTTAACACGATAAAATTAATGTGTCCACTTTGCCTTCGTTTAAATCCGATGAAACTAGGCTATCTATGTTTTGCATACCTCTCCGCGTAGTAATAGTCGTAGTACAGTTCCCCATGTCCTGAATATTAACCGGGTTTGCTAGGTATAGCCACCCTATGTTCGCCAATTGTTCTCTATTTATATTTGTCTATCTAATTTGCATACGATACTACTGTATGGACATACCAAAGTGCGATTCCCACATTAAATCGAACTTATGCCTCATTTGAAGAGTTACCAGACTGAGCAAACAAGTAGCGAATTGGGCTATAAATTCACTTACTTCTCATGTGTATCTGAAGCTAGCTTAGCTAATTTCTGGAAAAAAATCAGATAATTAATAAATATCTATGCAGATAATACAACATTGTATGAGTCCACCTTCAAAACTCTAACTGACCAGAGCCTGGCAGCTGATTTCCCTTCTGACCGAGCTCTAACAGCTCAGTCGGGCATCAACTGGCTTGTAACATTCAATCCCTCAAAAAATAAACTAGTATTGTTTCCTGACCACCGAAAAGACCTCGAATTTACGCCTATCATAATGAACGGCTTTTAACCCTGCACTATGCAACCACTGATGGGTACGAAGTTTGTCTACATCCACTTTTTTTGGTACTAGCAGAGTATTGACGATAAAAAGGCTTATCTTGCCATCGTTTCTGCATTTGATACATTGCATTTGTTTTTACTTTCTTTTTTTTAGGTTCTTTGCTGCTACAATAGATGTATTATGGTTTATTTGCACTTCTTCACCGATTTGAAATTCCTTTATGAATTTGTTGGCTTCATTACTGAATATAGTTTCTTATTACTTTCATGTCCCTTGACACAGATCATCATCCAGTCTTCTGTAGTTTCCAGGTATATTTGAAGACCAACTATTTTAATTTTGTAAAAAACCTAGATCAATTGAGAGTATTTGGGTAATTCTCCATTTCGCTAATGTTACTTTTGCACGTTTATCTAATCTGAAATACGTACTGAGCTCATCACTGAAAGGTTTGACATTATTGACATTCCAACTCATTGTTGTCTTTGGCAAAATGTTTGATGTCATCCATGGAGAATAAGTGACTTTATTGTTTATTTTGGTTATTTGTTTTGTATCCATAGTTATTAATGTTTAGTTGATGCGAAAAGTGGATTGTTCCTTGACACAGATCATCATCCAGTCTTCTGTAGTTTCTAGGTATCTTTGAAGGCAGACTGTCGTGGCTTTGTTTTATCAATAATAATAATTAATAAGAGGAGTAGTAGTAGTAATAGTAGTAGTAGTAATAGTAGTAGTAGTAGTAATAGTAATAGTCGTAGCAGTAATAGTAGTAGTAGTAATAGTAGTAGTAGTAATAGTAATAGTAGTAGAGTAATAGTAATAGTAGTAGCAGTAATAGTAGTAGTAGTAATAGTAATAGTTGTAGCAGTAATAGTAATAGTAGCAGTAGTAATAGTAGTGGTAGTAATAGTAATAGTTGTAGCAGTAATAATAATAGTAGTAGTAGTAATAGTAATAGTCGTAGCAGTAATAGTAGTAGTAGTAGTAGTAATAATAATAATCGTAGTAGTAGTAGTAATAGTAGTAGTAGTAATAGTAGTAGTAGTAATAGTAGTAGTAGTAGTAGTAGTCAGTTAAGAGAAGATCGTGATTAAAGAAATGAAAAAGAAACTTGTGAAAAATATTGGAAGATTTACGTCAATCATATTTTTTTGTTAATCTGGAATAGATTGCGATCATGGTGGACAATACGTTAGACCGAATAAGAATTATGTTGATCGGTTTCTTCAAAGAGGAAGAAGAGACTCAAGGCAACGGAGGTATGGTTCTACAGAAAGATGCTTAGGATATCATGGACCGAGCGTGTGAGCAACAATGAGGTTTTGGAGAGGCTGCAAAAAAGGAGGAAGCTTATACTTATCATCAGGAAGAGGCAACTGAAATTTCTGGGACACGTAATGAGGAAAGAGGGTTTGGAGTACCTAATACTCGCGGGCCGAATAGAGGGAAAGAGAAACATGAAAAAGCAACGCACGATGTACCTAACGGCCTTAAGCAAGTGGATGACAGAACGTGATCTGGTGGAGGGTGCCAGAGAGGTGAATCTTATTGAGAGCTACAAGGGAGAGGGGGAAGTGTCCTGAAGGGACACGGTACATAAAAAGAAAGAAATCTCATGGAAAACGAATCCATTGTTTTTGAATGAAGGTCCCGAGTTTATTTTATTTTTCTTAACTGTTGAAAATTACTGGAAGAGTTCCGTTTAGCATTTTATTTATTATTATTATCTTTATTTTTTTCCTTTGATTTCTGATATGTACTCATTTCTTTCCGGGTCCCACCCAAGGACCTAAGGTTAGAAATGGCATCATGACACTTTCCACTGTAAAAAAAAAAAAAAAAAAAATTACATAGACAAAGCCCTTCGTAAGGTGCGGGCTGTACTCGTGAGAACAATTTTTTTTATTTCTTTAAGGCATGGTCTTCTAGGAATCCCTTCAATTTGTCTACTGGAATCTTTTCCAACCAATCCGAGGGCTCCAACTACAACGGGATTCTTGATGTTCCCATGTGCCACAATTTTGAGATTTCGATTTCAAGGTCCTTGTATTTTGATAGCTTTTTGAAGATCTTCAAAGATACATTGCAGTCTGCAGGGACTGCCATATCAATAAGGAGGCACTTTTTTGTGTGCGATCTCTATTATTATTATTATTAACTAGCAGCATGGCCCGGCGTTGCCCGTGCTTGATTCAAAAATCGTACGACTCATACAGCAATTGCTATCACTTGACTTAAAATATTTTTGATCTTCCTTGCCTTTAAAGGGGTGCCCTTGCCGTGCTAATGTTGCTGCATGCCTTACTTCTTGCCTATCTCACACTGCGAATTTTTTCCAAGCTCTATACTAAACATTAATCTGTTACGAAAAAAGAACTAAACAAAATGAACACAAAACGATCAGCTTTAAAAAAGGACTCGTAACTGGAAAAACTGAATGAAAAAAGAATGTTAACAACAAATACTTTTTCACACCCAACCCAGTTCTGCGGAATCAGAATCAACGTTGAGTTTAAGCAAGCGAATGAGCCAATTGGAGTAAAGTGCCATGCAGATTTAAATTTTTCCCACTTGTGAAGAATGCAGCTATCGATTTTTTTTTTTGCATGCTAGCATGCTAGTTAACATTCGTGTCAGTCAGCTGTTGGCTCTCACGCTGGCCAATAAAATCTTCCTGCCTATTCGTGGCAGCCAGCTATTGGCTCTCACTCTGGCCAGTAGAAAATGGCCGCAAACTACATGAAAACTGCCGTAGAAGCATGAAAAAATCGATTATTTCCACAATCGATGGGAGTTGGGAAATGTAAAGTCGGTCTTGGCCTTCCCGCTAACTTGGAGCATGTGCATGTAAATTTTGGTGCAAATCCGTTGAAAATTGCGGCCGTGCATTCGTTACATACACACACACACACATCCTGCTTTTTATAGATAGAGATGTTATTATTATTCATTTTTGATAAATTAAATATTTATTATTAATATATTGATTTTTTTCAGGCCCTATTACATGCTACAAATGTATGGGAACGTTAGTGAACAGTTCATGTTCTGACCCATTCAATGTGGAAAACAAATCCGTAAAAGACTGTCCACAAGGACTCTGCATAAAATGGACAAGAAAATTAAATGGTGAGTATCGTTTAACTATTTTATAATCAAAATCTTTCAGTAATGAACGTCCTGGGTATGACGATAAACTACATCCGGCAGCAAGCCCTCTGATCGGGAGATTTTAATGAGTGTGAAATCATCTTTTAATTGCTGTTCCTCCAAGATCCACCCTTACCCGGGGTGGTAGCACCAGTTAGGATTTCAGCTATAATTATATAGTTAACCCCCCAAATTGGGGCCAAAACGCTACGAAAGTATAAAAATACATTTTTATAGTAAAAATACCAGCAATACATTTATGAAAAAAATATTACCACCAATAGATCTGACTCTCAACTTAAACCCTCATTAAAAAAAATACGTCAATGAAACCTGATCTAAAAACTGAAATTTTTTTTACAAAGAATACATATTCTATTCATGCGAAACTTATCCTTAAAATCATGCCGGCATTAAATAACCCATTGAGGTTGGTATACCGTAAAATAAAATAAACCAAATCAATAATGAACAGAACAAATCTAGGTATTGTTAAGTTTAGCGTTTCAAACGATTTCTCCATACCCGACACAGATTTGCCTCTTTTTGAAACTAACCTCATATTCTGAGTCATTCTTTTGGTTTGAAGTGTCATGCATTCAACATCACGCACTCAAAATATAAAA